GATTTTTCCGATAATTATTAGCTAGCGCTCTAGTTGTTGACAACCGCTACGGTGCTAGCTAACAATTATTGGAAAAAACGATTAATTTCCGGAGTAACTAGCAGTCCAAATTTCGGAGTAAATTATATTTTCCAGATAATCCATCCGGGCCTTAAATTTACGTCGTATTTTATATCTCCTCCCAAAACGGTAAGTACGATATTAAATTATTATTGAAGTAAATCAAGTAAACATCACTGACAAATTTGTGAAGATATTTTTAATAACTGTTAATTCGTTGAAACACAAATAATTAGCAGTCGGAGGCTTTGAAATCAGCTCGTCAAAAATTCCAGTCAGCTCAGAGTTATTAAAAGGGAAGCTGGAGGGATATTATTGAAAAGTTGTTGAGTCGATTAACGACAGATACCCCAGCGTTGCGTGTGGAGCCCTCCCTGTTATGGGGTCGGCTACTACGATGCCGCTGGGGTCACTCAAACCCCCAGAACTGAGCCTCTACTTTAGTCAATCCTCTTAGGTGCCTAACCTCACTTCTTCCTTTCCCTGGTATATTTATCTACTTTCATAAAATATAAAAATTAATTATCAAATTAGTTTATTACAATTGTTAGGGAATCGTTTGGGAATATTTAAGAAAAAATTCTCGTTGTTTGAAAGGAATCTTTATTCACAACTATTTAAATTGAAAAAAAAAAGGTATAATTGGCGGACGAACTTTAAAAAATCTCATACTCTGGCAAGTGTAGTGTGATGACTTCTCAATTATCTTTCAAAACATTGCAGCAAGAATGACACCAATCAAATGAGAAAATTAAATTAATACAATTGCAAGGTACCAGCCGGTGGGCTAAATTCCTGAATAAGATTATAATTAATGAATAAGATGATGGATTAAGAACTCAGGTACGATAACTTTACATTGCACAAATGCAAGTCCGCGATTCCACGATTTTTTCACTTCATTACGTCCAACAACGACGAAATACCGACGAAAGAAATCGAGCAAAAGCTTTGGATAAATTTGCTAACCAATGGGTGATGAGTCTACATCCGCCGATCGCTGGACCGATTAGACCCTAAGGTTTTTCAGCCAATTAGACAGTGCCCGTTGATAGCCAGCCGTCAATTGGCGTATCTCCCAACAAAACTCACAGTTAACAATTTTCCCATACTCATATGTATATGCAGACATCAAGAGAAATATAGTAGCAGCCATCTTATATTTTGTGTTGAAAAGAAAAACATTTATTTAAACCAAATGTTACGAATCGTGTCTGTGAAAACTGTTTGGGGCGACTAAATGTACTCGCTCAATGAAGCGTAACTCTTTCAATCCCCCACCTGGACCACTACATTAGCAAAGGTACCGTAGACAAGGTATTATTTCCCAATCATGATCCAGCGGTTGCGATGAAAAAAATAAAAATCCGAAGATTCACTCGTTTTCGTGCATTGCCGATGATAATGTATCACCCCCACCTCGTTAACACTCTAAAAAATCAACAACAAAGAGGATAAAATCATCATTCTGGGCATGAAAAACTCACACAACAGCGTGAAATTACTGTGAAAAAGTACATAAACGTTGTGGAATTGGCAGTGCGTGGGGTATCGACATGATTTTTTATCGCGAATAAAACGAAATAGAGAAGATTGGTGGGGGAGGTGGATCGGGGGAGGGGAGTGGGACTTGTCAAGTTTTGGCCCGCGGAAAAGTTATGCAATCAGCTGATCGCTTAACATCTACTGTCACTTGTCAAATAAATATCAAAAGACTAGTCTTGGTAATCGAGATATAACAAATGACAATTAAATCCAAACAAAATCATTGACATGCGATATGCGTGTCAGTAATTGATCGTAGATGCATCACCAGACCGTGCTGTTCTCCTTGTTTTAACTGATAAACAATAACGAAGAACGAATTTAGTAAGTTGAGCCTCTGGAAATTTTGCTAATTTATCAATAATCCAAATAACCCACCTTGCAATTATTACGATGAAGTTAGAAAAAGTAACGGAGAGAAATGAAAAATGTTTGAACAGGTGGATTGGTACGCAGGATATGAGCAGTTTGTCAAGCGCAATCTGACTCTGCTCCCACACCAGGAACCAGTGCAACAGCAGCCTCAAGTGCTGTCTCCTCCACAGCATACGGACATTATGACGTCCATGTTCGAGCAGCAAATAAAGAGTGAACCAATGGGATTTTATTCAGTGGCATCATCGAGATCAGACGGTTCGAATTCAATGGTCAATTTGTCAGACGATCGTGAGGATTTATCGCAGCAGGAGGAGCACATTCAGACGCAGCAAACGATGCATCAGCAGCAGCAAACACCCCAGCAGCAGCAGCAGCAGCAGCAGCAGCAGCAGCAACAGCAGCAGCAAGTGAACCCCCAAAATCAACAGACAGTACAAAACGTACCCCACAATGGACCAAGTCGTCAATCAACAGGCCAGCAGACAGTTAAAGAGGGCAGTCGATCAAAACCCCAACCCTGCAAAGTGTGTGGTAAAGTACTCTCTTCAGCCTCTTCGTATTATGTACACATGAAGTTACATTCTGGAAACAAGCCGTATCACTGCACAGTGTGCGAGGCTAGTTTTTGCAGAAAGCCATACCTCGAGGTGCACATGAGAACGCACACTGGTGAGCGTCCATTTCAGTGTGAATTATGCCTGAAAAGATTCACCCAGAAGAGTAGTCTAAATACTCACAAACGTGTACACACTGGTGAACGTCCTTACGCGTGTGACATATGTCAAAAGCGTTTTGCTGTTAAATCGTACGTGACAGCGCACCGCTGGAGTCACGTTGCTGAAAAACCCCTTGTTTGTGATCGATGCTCATTGACGTTTACATCGAAGAGCCAATTTGCCATCCACATTCGTACCCACACAGCATCAACAACTTATGAGTGTAATATATGTGGACGTACATTCGTACGTGATAGTTACTTGATACGCCATCAAAATCGTGTCCATCGTGATATGAATCAGAGTAATTCAAATCACAACCCATCAACACCACAGAGTACAGGTGGACAAACACCTGGTACTGGATTTGAGAGTCCTGTTTGTGATTTGCGTTACAACGAGGGGCCATCATCGTTGGATGGTCTTGGCGGTGGTAAAGGTGGTATTGCTGTTGAAATAGCGAGTTTAGGTAAACAGAATAGCCTACAGCTACCAGTGCCACTTTTGCATCCACAAACAACTAACTAGTGTTTAAACGGCAGTGAGAATCAGTCTCTGCCGTTACAACAATCGTCACCGCAGCTAGCTGTTTGTCAATCATCGGCATCATCACCATATACTATTAATTCACCGTTGCAGCAAGATCAAACAACTCCGCAGAGTGTTTATCAGCAGTCCCATGGCTCGTCTGGTTCACTCGACAGTCCAGAATCACGTTATTCACATTTGGAACAGGTGGATAATCATGATTCACATCAGCAGCATCAGGTTTATCATGAGCAACAACGTGGTATACCACCACCTGGGCTCCATCCAGCACTTTATCTGTACGCTCAGTACACTAATACGAGTCCTCCTATTACTTATCCCGAGTATATTCAACGCAACAACTAGGAGAAAAGTTTTTACATCCTCTTTGTTAACGTGGCATCATGTTTTTATGCTGGCACCTCTTTTTCTTTCAGTGGTTTTTTCATCGTTTTTATATTCGACTTGATTAATTGTGACGTTGCTAACGAATTTATCGAGTCTCTTTTCATTACAACTTTTCACCGGTGCGAAGGAAATTACCAATGCTAGCATAAAAACCCGTATTTCAATATCTCCACACGTTTCCAGATGTTTTTCTCTCGAAAGCACGACAAACATTGTTTTTGTTCTGTCTATCTTTGATTTGTTTTCTTGTACGAAATACATATTTACGAGTATGTATATTACGTGATCATCACACCCATATTTATGTTATATTTTTAAAGGAGTTTTTAGTCACTTGGATCTGTGATATAGATAGTAATTATTATCAGCAAAGTTTAAATATTGGTTTAACGATTTCGATATCAAACGGAGAAAAAAGGAGAAATTTTAAGCAAACAAAAAAAAAAATGAGAAAAAGTGAAAATAAAAAGCATAAAAAAATATATGAACAAAGTAATGTCATGGAGAGTGAACAAAATTAATCGTCTCTACTTGTGGTTTTTACCCTTTGTCCGGTAGCCACGTGGATATTATTACTAATTATGCCATAATGAAAAACGGAAATGAAGATAGAGGATATTTTCACGAGTGATAACATGATACTTTGATTCACATTTTCATCGCCATTCGTCATCAGAGAAGAAACATAATTTAGTCTGGATAATCAACTCTTACTAATGCTATTCATTATGATACTGCTCTTCTAGTACTAGCGATAGTACTGTTAATTATCATTAGCCACTCTACTAAAGGATGAAAAATCTAGTTAATCTGTAACTACTCTACTAACACTTATTAGGCTGATACTCTGTGACAAAAAGGAAATTTAAACTGGAGAATACTAAGAGGACACTATTAATGTCTTATCCGAGTGCCGTGCCATTCAGGCCCAGTCTAAATAGGCGTCATGATTTCTCGGGTACTTCAATCAAATTTCATATCTTGGGTAAAACCATTAATTGATACCCTTTTGAATTACGGAATCACATTTTATTATTTTAGTAAAGTTTACTCCTGTTATAATCGTGTGCATGGGGCTGTAGAGAAAATTGAAAAAATTAGAATTTGAATTCTTTATGAATTATCCTTTACAGATTTTGCAGCCGGAATTCTTAGGCAAAAAAAAAATGTGCGATGCTGTCCGTTTTCTTCATTACTCACCACAAAATTGAAGAAAAAAGACGTTCAAAAATCGTACCCAAGAGATATAAAGCAAATGTAATTGATGATACAAGTGGAGCTAGTCGATTTATTCCTTAAAATTTTGTCGCTGGATCGACCCGTTATCCTTCATTTTTTACTATGAACTTGCAAAAGGAAATTAAATCTTTCAGAAAAACCGTGAATTCTCATCGTCCTACGTGATCACTTCTTTACGGAGTTGAATAAATTTGAATTATAAATGCCAAAAACTTGTCTTGCCTGGCTGTAACGACTAAACGGAGAAATAGAGGAATTATTGAATGATTGATCGATTTGAGTCAACTCGAGAGATCATGACATGCATGTACACATTGATAATTTAATGCTTATTTGCATTGCGGTTAACAACTCATTAGTCTGGTCTGTACAGCTACCGACCAACAAATTGTATATATTTTTTTTTTTATAATTGCAATCTATCTTTAAGACGTGAATAATTTCTGTCGTGTCTTTTCATTTCTAGATATTTTCGTAATTGAAGGAATAAAACAAATACTGTTTGCGATATGCGCGCATATGCCTGGGACTTTCAATTCCATTTGATACCAAGTCATCGGGTAAGACTGATTATCATAACGAACTATTTTGATGAGTGGGAGGAGAGATGGAAAGATTCGAATGAGGGAATATTTATGTATAATGTTTTGATGGAGAATGGAGGAAAATCATTGCTCTTTATTATTATTGGCTAGTCATTGTGCAGCTCTATGAGATAAATATAATTACGAAGCTGTGATTTAAAGTCTCTGTGCATATGAACGCGTAATTCCTGCGTAGTCTATGAAATTCGCTTGTAGCCAGTGGCCGTAGAAATTTTATCTAAATTTCTAGCTGTTCAATTTTTTTTTTGTTTTTGAATAATATTGTTGGAATGAGTTTTTTGGGTTCACGTTTTTTTTTTTTCGTGTTTTATGTGTTGAACGAGAAGAACGAAACATGAGCAATTTTTTTATTACTCTCAGTTGTTTTGCGAATTTTTTCGATGGAGGATTGAACATGGCCCTGAAATTATGGGAAATTAGCGAAGGTCTTCCTCTTTGGAAGCTTTCGTTCGATCAAGATAAATAGTAAATTCATTACAATTCTTTCCGTAAATTAATACTTTTATTTTATTCGCTGGGGCTCATCCGAATGGTAATTCAGGGAAAATTAAAAGTGAAGGAAATTCATCTGGTACTCATAATTTCGGGATTTCAAATGGTGAACCATCAAAAAATAACGGAACAATACAACAGAGTGGATAGAAAATATATTTATTTTTAATCACCAGTGATGTAGTTAGGGAAATAGAATTCCTCTGCCATTTTATCGCTATCAATTATTTTGTTACTTCGAGGATTTTTTTTAGTTACCTCGAGAGCCAAGGTTGTACATAATTTCAAATGAAAATTATTAATGAGTGCAAAACAATGAAAAAACAGACCCACTATTGATCTGTAATGTAATGGATTGTGTTGTTTTCTCGTGAGAAACGAAGTGTTAATGTTTTTTAATGGCACTAAAATTCAATGGGATCAGTAGCAAAGACGTAAGAGTAACGATTTGTACCTCAATCGAGTTTTCGAGACTATCTCTGAATTGAAGAGAGATAACGAAATTTTTCTCAGAATGTTTTTTGTAGAGTGAAATGAGAGCTATGAAAAACATCTCAATAAAAATTTCAGTATCTCGGTTGGATTCAGAGAAATTCCTCAAAAATTGACCGATTATTTAAATCGACTGGCAATCCTTGACATCTTCGTTACTGAAACATAAACGCTTCTTTTTAACACCGCTAATGCGTAGTGAAGACAAAATCGCTGGGATATTCCAACATTTTCCTCATTCACCCCTGAATGATACTATGCACTTACGACAGTACAACCCCACAATTATTAAATAAACAAATAGTGAATTTTGAATTAACTGAATTCAACTGCGTGTGTAACACGAAAACCTCCAGATGTCCGCCGAAAAAAAATGTAATGAGATATTCAGCCGATGAAATCAAATGCTAACGAGCCAAAAGTAACGATGAATAATTCCATTTGATTATTTCAATCACCTCACTCGAAAAATCATAAAAAAACTTCATGAATCATCTCATTACATATGATTTTCATTTTTCAAAAAATTAAAAGAGAGATTCATGGAATAAGTTAAACCCAAGAACACAGAGCGAAACTAAAGAATAATAACCGATAAAACCAGAAAATATAAAAAAAAATAATACTAAAAATAATAAAAACCTAAAAACAATGTCCACGTCGCTCGACATTGCGCCTGTACCATTTTGCTTCGTTAGCAGAGTACGATGCCATTTATTTTTATAATACGTTTACGTAGGAATAGTTCTTATTTTTATATAGAAAGGTTTACCGTGCTACCGTAAGTCTTAGAAGGCCTGCGAATGGTAGATTACCTAGATGAAAAAAATAATGAAAAATGCAAGAGGCAAAAATAAGTAAAACCGATAATTACCAAGCCCCTTTAAATATTATGAATATTATCAACTCGTTTCCGCATACTCCAATTACTATATCTGAGATAAATTTTTACCAAACAGTGTCATTATCTGTTGATAGCGCCTCATCTAGTCTACTTGTATAAAAGCCACTTGTTTTTTTGTTCATTCATGTGAAAAATTAATGCGAGACAATAGTGCTGAATGCGGAGACGAGTGATTCTATTGAAATCCGTGTGCGTTCATGTTGACAGTTGAGATGTAGAAGAAAAAAATCCTCGAGAATTTTTTCATCTCTGAATGATGTAGACGTGCCGCACCGAGTTAAAAATTCATTTTTTTTCAAGTATCACAATCTCGTCAAGAAAGTGTTTTGTTGATAATTATGGAGTGATTATTTGTGCTAAGTACAAAGAAATCAAGAATTGCTATAATTTTCCATCGATTTCTCTACGAATTGTTTTGTAGTGAAGATGAAATTCGTAAATTCGTGAATAGAATACTAATAATTTAGATAGACCTGAAATGTATCCACGATTGTCCAGATATCACGTTCTTGGCACATGTAAATAATATTTTGATGAGAATGAATTTTCTGCTTGGTGCAGGGGCTGGTGATGAATCGTCTGAATGAATTGAAACACTTATTACGATTCATTACCACGCGGGAAACTATACATATATGTTAAATACTGATTTAACGCTATAGGCAGACTAATTTGTAGTAATGACGGATCTACACGGTTTACGCGCCGGATTAATGAATAAACCCGTAATGAATAAACAAGAGTAAAGATAAAAAACAATATATCCATAACCGACTTGAAAATATTAACGAAATGTTAAAGAAGTAAATGATGAACTCATAGCCATAAATGATGGATTTATCAGCTGTTCGCAGTGGCAGTGTAAATTCAGAGAGATATCTAAACTCGACGATTACATATATATTTAAAAGAATCATCAATGAAAGAAATGTAGAGAATAGATCACGCGAACATTAATGAATGTACCTATACAGAAAGACGCATGAGACACTTTTGTAATAGCAGTTTCAAACAAAGCAAATATATTATTAATAAAATAATGGTAATAAAATGAAAATAAGAAATGGACGCTTTGACACAGCTCTCACCGACATATCCTGGCTAACACATCCTTTTACGTACATACTGCATTACATTTTAGGGATAATACATGTTCTAATAGGGTTACTCTATGTGTGAACTATATCCCCTGAGTAAAGTGAAGGAAAGAGGAAAATTATATATATAAATATATATAAATATATGAGATTGAGGAAGTTATGCAATTATCACTTGTGAGGCAAGTATGTACTGTACATAGCTGTCATTTTCTGTGAGAAGTCCCTCTCCTCCCTCGAATCATATGAAATATACATGAAAATTTTCATCGTACTGCGACGAACATTAACCACTGTTGTAATAATTATGAATTATTATCAATTGCTACGAGAATGAAGATAAAACAGAATCAATAAGATAATGCTAACGTTTAATTTTAACTAGTGGATAAGCTTACCGTTTAGTGGAAGTAGAGCCTCACTTTCAGCACTGTTTTTTGAAAAATGAAAAATAAGGGAATGAAATCAATATTTTATCATCAAAATGAACAAAAAAAAATGAGTAAATAATTGGATTCTACCTCAATCCTGTAATGAAAAAAGTACAGTTATCATATTCCAATGGGAAGTACAGATTATAACGAGGATTTTTTTTTCGTGTTACTTACACTGAAGCGTCACATTAGCGATTATTTTCTGGCCTGCAGTGACAGCAAACTGTGATAATTTTAATGTCTTACATTAATGGTTTAAATTAAGACTCTGTTAGGGATGGATTTTAAAAGATATTTCTCATCAACTCTAGCTCGAGTTTCAGTTGAAATCTCTGGGCTGTTATATTTATCTTCCATGGAGCTTATTTCAATGATATTCTTTCAGTATACGTTGAATTGTGATGTTAGATTAAGGAATATGTTTTAATCCAAAGGTGATCGTGTGGGTTTTTTCGTTGGCGTCGCTGCAGCTCAGAGTGCTAGTGTGAGGTATTCAGAATTCATGGATTTATCTTTTTTCAATACCTCGCCTGAAAGGGATGGAATCATCATGTAGGGATGTATGAAACATTCAGAGACGATATCTCCACTAAAAGTTGAAATGAAAAGGAAAATAGGATGGTTCACATCTACCAGCAATAAAACTGTACATTGTGATTGATCGATCAAGCTACAATGTAGTTTGTCTCGAGATATCACCGATAGAAGAATAAACACTCGTGTATTAAAGTAGAATTATGGAACAAATAGAATACGATTGATACCCCAAATTTTTTCGTATGGAATTCATTTTGAATATTTATTACCCTTCTCCTACAGCTTTTGCACGATTCATACATTTTATTGAATTTTTAGTTTCAGGGGAAGATAGAAAGATAAAAAAATCTTACTCCATTTCTACATCAACGATGGCGTCCTCAACGATAATTTGCTCAGTGCAAATAGGTACTTGCATTATTGGCAGCGGATCTGGTGATTTTGTGTACAAATTACTGGCCGAATGCACCTTGAAATATTCACCCCCCATTTCTTCATATTCCTGTCGTGTTACTAAGTACTCTGAAAAACTGTCGCCTAATCCAAAATTCCTTGCTCCGTACCAAGCGTCCAGAGCTGGATTTTTGGCAATGGTAATTCGAAAACTCGTGCCAAACGGTCGAATTTCCCTCAATTCACGTTTCAAACGTTCGTGAAGCCCGGGTAATTTAGCTGGACCACCGGTTAAAAACACGTTATTCACGAGACGTGATTGCACGTCTTCTGGATACAGTTTCAATACAAAATCAATAGTCTCTGCTATGCCAGCCTCAACAGAACCAATCATTGCAGGTTGAAATATCAATTCGGGAGATCGGAGACGCTCTAGAGCTACATGAAGCTGATGGGTTTCTCCTGGAATGAGAGGAACGTTCGCTCCAGCTCCCTCGAACTCTGGATCATGCTGGCGAAGGACATCTTCCAGCTCCAACAGACGCTCTTGTTCCAGTTCTGAATCGGAGTCTCCACCTTCTCTGTTAATGACTTTGTAAACATCCCAGTCTTCATCCCGCATACCGAAATCATCATCACGTTTCTCCTTCTTCGCCAGTTGACTTATAATCCTCATCCTCTCCTGTGCTGCAGCAGTTCTTCGTTTCGCCATGTCTTGACGACGCTGACGCTTCGCCAATCTCTTCTCCAGAATCTCCTGCCTCTTCTTCCTGACCCCCGCAATCCACTCATCAAAATCCTGTGAGTCCTTCGGTTGAAGACTGGTTTTTATCTTGGGTTTTTCCTCAATTATAACGTTTTCTTCCTGCGAATTAGCAGCAACAATTTTCTGTTTAGTTTTCTCGATCTTCGCCTGAAGATTATTAATCATCTTAATTAATTCCGCCTCATTGGCTAAATTGTAGGATTTGAGGGCTCGCTCAAACTCCTCAGTGTCTCCTTCTTCCAGAAAATCCTGGATTGACAAGAATTGATTTAATTGCTCCTCGTCCTCAGCCAATCTCTCCTCTCTCTTCCTTGCATTGATCTCCATCAACCTCCTGGCCAGTTCTCGTTTCCTCTCCTTTTGCTGTTCAACTGTCAGTCCAGGTGTCGTGGTGGGTGCCACGTAGGGAAGCTGCACTCTCAACACATTGCTGTCATAATAATCAGGATCACCCCATTTTTTAATTTCCTCCTGGTATTCTAAAGCAATGCTCGAGTGCTCGTGAATCAATTCCTCAGCCCTGCTGGGAGTAATGGCATTCACATGAACTGGATATTTCAATTGCAATAATCTGTGCATGTACGAAGTTATATGAAACCCTCCGATATTAATCCTCCTTGCATGCTTGGAGTCGACTCTTCCATTCAACACTGGTATTATCTGAGTCGTGTGATACCCAAAGCTCACAATAAGCCCATCAGAAGGACAATTGTTATGCTTATACGATAATAAACAATCTACCCCGTAGGCTATCGATGGAACGTTGTAGCATTCGAATAACAGTTCAGCCATCAAATTCCTAGAATAATTAGGATTGAGAAAAGCCTCCGTCAGAATAATGGGATGATCGACGGATCCTTCAGTATCAATTCCCATATGAGTGAAGGTGTAATCAAATATTTGCTCTTGAGCTTCGAAATGAGTGACAACGTTCCTATCGAATTGTGTCTTTAGCTGAAAACGTACAGCCTCGATGTTTACAATGTCATTTCCAATTTGGAGCTCGCCGTCTTTTTTGCCCCGTTCTTTTCGGGGCTTTGCTATAAGATTTTTGAATATCAACTGAGGTTCCTTCTCCGTTGCCCAACCAACTCTAGAGCAATACGATCCTGCAGAATTATAAATTTATTCAGTTCTACTAGCTATTGTGAATTTTAGGGGCTAGTTGTCGTTGTTCTTACCATTGTCAATGACAAGTGGAGTTAATTCACTTTTAACTTTTTCAGAATACACGTGGACAATATCAGGTACAGCTTTCACGTCTTTTAACTCAAGAATATCCATTTTCAGATCTGATTCTTGATGGAAAATTCGAGAGGAGAGTGATCCGTCAGAATGGAAATGGAAACAGAACGGAAACTACTGGATACATTCCCAGGTCGACAGATGTTGATCCAGCGGATAGAGCTCGGTATTGTAGATATCCTCAGAACATTTATTACCATTTGAATTTTTTAGTGCAATGACGCATTGAGAGATGGCCGAATTATTCTTATTTCAAAAGTAATTAGAGACGCAAGTAATTTTTTTTAATTCAATTTTTTCTATCACATATTCTAGATTGGTCCCTCAGGTCACGTGAAATTTTTTTTTTTTAATTTCTTTTTTTTTCTAGCTTTTGAGATTTTTATTATTATCTATGGGGTGAATATACGTGAAATCAATCCTAAATTGATGAAAAAATTTGATTAAAAAAAAAATCACTTTCCCATTCCAAAAATACAAGATCGGCCCCTACGGACTTTTTCAAAAAATTTGTATCGCCGCTCTGAGGTTCTCTGAGTTCTCTTACGACTTCGGAGACCAATACTTGTGAAATTACCCGTCGGTTGATGAAAAAATTATATTGATAAAAGAATGATATTGCCTTTTCCGCCACAGCTCATAAATCACCCCCTCCTGGGGCCAGTGCAAAGACAATTTCTTCATTTTCTAATATGTCTCTGTCTCTTGTGCGGCTTTTCACTGCCCCCGTACAAAATTCCTCAGGAATTTTCCATTTTCTCGATTAAGTTCAGCATTTAAGTAGAGGCTTTCCAACCCTATCCAGAACTCCCCAAGATCCGAACGCATTAATTAATTAATGTAACCATTTTAATTATCGTGAAAAATGCTCGATCGCACGTAAAATGCCATTGCATTACGCAGGTGCTATCTGGTGTCCGTTATTAATTCGTCTATCGACTAAATTAAAGTAACGCAATAGACAGTAGAAAATGTGGATAGATAGGGACTGTGTTAATAGATGGTAATTAACCTGAATACACGTTGTCTCCTTGATGTTAATACCATGAGACACTCCCATGTCCACGCCATCAAGAGCATTAATGATGTGAAGTTTATGTAACCAGGAAAAAAAAGTCACCCTATTCCGACCTGAATTGAGGGGTGAAATGGGGAGTTCGTAATAATTGAGAATTTTTTGTACTTGAATTGACGCTCAAAACGCATTACTATCTCTGGAACGCAGGGCTAGGGCATGCAACCCGGTGGGAAGAAAGGAACGAAAGATGAGAATGATAACACAATTTTCAAAATGAAAAGGCGAGCCAATGCTCAAGGCATGTAGACTCCACATACCTTTCATTATAACCGAGCTGGCACATATTAGTCTGTAATCGTCGCACTTGTTCTAATTAAATTCATCATCCCGAGAATTTCTTCTTCTTCTTCTCTTCGACACCCGCAAAAATTTCGAATAAAAATGAAATTATGAGAACTGTTAATAAAATTAATAGACATCAATGTCAATTTTACTGTGGGTTTCAATCCGAATGGAATTCTTTCGAGGGGAATTTAAGGATTTTTGGATTTTTTGTTTCCATTCTGAGATTCAATTAACCAGGCTGATGCATTAGTCGGTTCTCATTTTAATATTGTCTAATCAGTTTTTATAGGAATTATTCTTGTGTGGCAAGGAAAATAATTATTTCTGGCGAATAAATATATTCGAGACAACTAAGTGCGCAAAATCTCGACATAAAATCTCCATTTAGATTCTTATCTCGAACATTGCGTTGGTGTAATCAATTTAGTTGGGAAAAATCGGGTTTTTTCGAGTTAAGATTTCAAGTAAAGGAATGAAGACCAATGAAAAACTTTAAAAAGGTGAGATAAAACAGACGAAAGAGCCTGATCAATTAAAAAATGTTATTTTTATGATTTAAACAATTTTGGCTTTGTGTGTAAATTACGAATATTGACTTTAATGTTTTCACTATTTTCAGGAATTTTTCGCATGTCACCTTCGACAATACAACGTGATCAATTTTTTATCTCCAATACTTTGGGAGAGTTCAAAATAATCGCCAGGCTTTTGTAAATATTCCGATGAGAAAATAATTTCCCTGTAGATGATGAAAATCCGCTGAGACGTATCAGCCCCTCAACCCTAAAGACATTACGATCAGACTTTAACATCGGGGGATGATTCCGGTGACTCACCAAACCGGAAAACTCCATGACTCTCTGGATGCTGTATGAAAAGGGAGACAAGATAGAGTTGCGTCATACTCAACATTACGTGTCACCGCATAAAATTCCAGTGTTGCGAGTATTTTTATTTTTTGCAAATTGCCGGCAACAGAAATACGATAAAGCAGTAAATCTGATCATAATCCCCCATTGGACTAGTTAACCTAGGGGTTTGAACAGTTGAATAGGAAACCACCTGCAGTTAAGATTAAAGAGAATAATGATTCACCCTAACTACCAACTATTGCATTGTTTATTGGTGCAAGGAGCTATTTATTTTCAGTTAAGTGAATCCGATTATTTCAATCTGACCTGAGAATCCACTGTATTAAATTCTATTAATTATATTAATATTATATTCTCCAGAATAATTATAATAATCTCCTATAATGATTTCATTAATATTGAAATTATGTTAATTGATAACCTGTGGATAAATTCTAATTCATAATTCATAATTCATAATTCATAACTTGAAAAAGGTCTTGAAGTTCCATTGTTTGAGCTGACAGAATGCCAAGAGCAGTGAAATCATTCATCAGGAGAATCGATTGATTCTATTGAGTGGAAGTAATCCGGAATTGCGTGTGTCGCGATTAATGCACCCCTGATTGTTCACTCCGAGTTCTTGTTCTTTGTTGCCAGCCAAATAAAAGCACTTAAAGAGACCCTCCGCCCCCGCTGGGGACCATATTAATGACTCTTCTCGTATACTTCGGAATTTATTTCGAGGTAATCACGAAATGACGAGATTTTTCCGCCCTTCATAACATTACACATGTACTATTAACCGACAAATGATTTACGGAGAAACGAAGGGGCGCACTGGCTCATGGTTGAATCACAGAATTAATTCTCGGAGAAGCTATTTGTGACGAACATAATTAAGGATAACCCCAGGTATCACCAATGGACCACTTAATTAGTCTCAGCGAGCAAGTTAATTAATTCATTCCATCCCCGAATTTCGCTATTTTAATCCGAAAAAAAATGGACATATCATTTTTACCACTCATAAAAGGTAACGATTAATTAAATTAATTAATCAATCAATATGAATTAATTTTGGGCATGAAAAGGTAAATGCATTAACAATTCAAAGAGTAGGAATGATTTTTAATTCGGGAATCAGTTGTACTTGATTCAAGTACGAGAATCGAAACGCGATTTATCACAGTTTTCGGTTTATTTAATTAATTAATTAAAATTAATTTTCTAGATGACTCTTTAAAAAATGGTGCAGGCGGTTTCGTATAAATTAATTAGAGCAATTGAGTGGTAGCTTTATACTTGAATCAAGTAGGGGTTATCGACTTGATTCAGTACAGGGGATTGAATCGGTGAACTTGTTTGTGTTGACGTGCCCTTTGTAATTTTTTTGAGAGGCTAAACGAAGTCGATGCAATCGCAATGATTATCATCATAACGCCGCAAATGCGTGTCGCGTGCATTCGATGATTATGCAAGTTACGATTACCCGATATACTTGTACGTAACAGGGTTGCACGAAAATTTAATGCAACTGCGGGGGTGGGGGTTAAGGGCGTAGATTAGCAGCTATCGTAACGACCAATAAAGTTGCGTCGATATTATCACAAGTCCGAAGAGGGTTGAATGTGTCTTATCACTTGCGCATTCGTGAAAATAAATATATCCACATTTTTTATTGCGATTCACAAAAATGCGCAATTAGATTCTACCTCGTGCACAATTTTTACATCCGATTCATTACGAAATTTTTTATTCACATCTCCATTACAATTCTTGGAAATTTTTTATTAGGCTATAACTTGTTATTTTCAGTGAATAGTATAACTATAAATATAACTTATGATGGGACTGATGTGAAAAAATATGTTTTTGCGTTTTGTTATTGTTTATTGACTTGAATATTCGTGAGTCGTTTGATAATGACAAATTAATAATATTTTCAGATCAGTCCCAGTGATAATTTGGTGGAAAAAATGAAAAAACTGGGAATTTTGGTTGAAAGTGGGCGGAAAGAACATCCTGATCGTGGAGATGACAATTTGACGTGTTGTAAAAGTGGAGTGAAAAAATCATTCCCAATGTGCATTAATCCCGGGTGCTCCCGCGTGGACGAAAATAACGAGTCAAGGCACGTGGAAACATCTACACAGATGTAGAGCGTGTTCTGGTTGTAAGAGGATTACACAAATCGAAAGGGATCTCACTGATCCCCATTCTGTGAATTTTCGGGAACAAAAATGATCGTTATACACAACCAATACCGATTATAGCTCAATTTCAGAGAAACTAGTTAGTTGTCAATAAATGTACGCGATGGATTCGCACGCTTTTCCCGATATATCATTTATTTCCATTTATTAGATCACGTTTTGGGATTTATGGAGCACAAGTGTTTGGTGGAGGCAATGGCTGATGAGAAGTCACTGTCAGCTAGAGTATATGGGTGAAAATAAATCATTCGACGTTTGAAGAATGGACATTTATAAAATTGAATTTATCTTTCGGAGACTGAAATCCATTGGAAACAAATTCATCCTCGAATTCGAAGTAATTACCCATTTTCATTAATTTTGCAATGTTCCCACAACGACTCTTCATTAAATTATTTTTTAAAAATTTAATTACAACATTATTATTCCGAATTCATAATTTACTGAGTATTCTCTTAAATGCGACTTTCGATTTTCACAATAAATTTCAAATTATCCTTTCAATATCAATGGAATCAATAGAATTCAATATTGAGACCTGAATTTTGTAAATATTCAAAATGAAAGAAATGATTTGCATGATTTGACTTCCTGATGAAAATAATAATTAATAGTTAAAAATAAAAATAGTTAAATTGATAATTTTGGTTGATTTAAATTCTCCGATGAACTGAATCGATATTATAATTGAATTACACGGTAAAGACTGAAACC